CTCTAATTTAGTGCATAGTGATAGGCATGGGTCTAGTTTTAGTTTTTGGCATATGGAAAGCTAGTTTTTCCAGCACCACTTAATAAAAAGGGTATCTTTCTTCCAGAGATCATGGTTGGCTCCTTTGTCAAAGATAAGGTGGCTGAGTGTGTTTGGGCTTGTGGTTGCATCTTCTGATCTATTCCATTGATCTTCATGTCTGTTTATATTTCAGTACCATGCTGATTTTATCACTGTAGCATTGTAGTATAACTTCAAGTCAGGGATTGTGATGCCTCCTGCCTTGCCTTTGTTGTCCAAAATTGCCTTGGCTATGCTAGGTCTCTTCTGGTTTCAGATGAATTTTAGGAATGATTTCTCTAGATCTATGAGGTATGTTAATGGCATTTTTGATTGGAATTGCACTAAATCTGTGTAAAAATTTTGGGAGAATGATCATTTTCACAATGTTTGTTTTTCTATCCATGAACAAGGACTGTCTTTCCATTTTCTGGGATTCTCTTTGATTTCTTTTTTCAGAGTGTTGTAATTTTCACTGAATAAATCTTTTACTTCCTTTGTTAGACTAATTCCTAAGCATTTCATTTTTTGGATGCTATTGTAAAGGGTACGGTTTCTCTTATTTCTCTCTCAGTAAATTCATTGTTTGTGTACAGGAATGCTGTTGATTTTTGAGTGCTGACTGTATCCAGCTACACTACTGAATTTGGTTATTACATCTAGAAGTCTTTCAATGAAGTTTTGGGGGTCTTGTATGTAAAGTATCATGTCACCTGCAAATAATGATAATTTAACTTCTTCCTTTTCTATTCTTATTCCTTTTATTTCTCTCTCTTGTCTAATTGCTCTGGCTGATGTTTCCATCACTATATTGAATAGGAGTGGTAATAATGGACAGCCTTGTCTTGTTCCTGATTTTAGAGTAAAAGCTTTCCGTTTTTGTCCATTTAATATGATGCTGGCTGTTGGTTTGTCATAGATGGTTTTTATCAGATTGAGGTAAAAACCATCTATTCCGATTTTTCATTGGGTTCTTGTCATGAATCAGTGTTGGACCTTATCAAAAGCTGTTTCTGAGGGGCTGGGGATTTAGCTCAGCGGCATAAGCGCCTGCCTTGCAAGCAGGCCGTCATAAGTTCGATCCCTGGTACCGATAAAAATGAAAAAGACAAAAAAAAAAAGCTGTTTCTGTATCTATTGAAATGACTATATGATTCTGATTTTTGGCTCTATTGATATGGTGTATGACATTTATTTATTTGCATGTATTGAACCATCGCTGCATTGCTGGGATGAATCCACTTGGTCATTGTATATAATCTTGAGACTTGCATTCTGTTTGCTAGTATTTTGTTGAGGATTTTTGTCTCTATGGTCACTAGGAAGATTGGCCTGTAATTCTCTTTTCTGATTGGGTCTTTCTCCAGTTTTGTTAAGGTAATACTTGCTTTCAGGAATGAATTAGGGAGAATTGCTTCCCTTTCAATTTCATTGCAGAGTTTGAGGAATATTGGAATTAAGTCTTCCTTGAATTTCTTGTAGAATTCAGCTGTGAATTCATCAGGACCTGGACTTTTCTTTGTTGGTAAGGTTCTAGTTAAATTTTCAATTTTATTAATTGAAATTGGGTTATTCAGCTATTCAGTTATACAACTTCTTGATCCAGCTTTGGTAATTGATATGTTTCTAGGAATCTGTCCATTTCTTTTGTGTTATCAAGTCTATGAGAGTAAAGGTTTTCAAAGTAGGTATTGATGATCTTCTGTATTTCTACAGGGTCTGTAGTGATTTTGCCCTTTTAATTCATTATTGCATGAATTTGAATTTTTCTTTCCTTTTTTAAATAAGGCTGGCTAGGGGCTTATCAATTTTATTTATTCTTTCGAAGAACCAACTCTTTGATTCATTAATTCTTTGCATTATTTTCTTAGTCTCTATTGCACTGATTTCTGCTCTGATCTTTATAATTTCCTGCATTCTTTTAGATTTGGGCTTGACTTGCTCTTCTTTTCCTAGATGTTTGAGGTGTAGTATCAGGTTATTTGTGTTCATTCTGTTTTCCTGATCTGGGAATTCACCACAATAAATTTCCCCCTGAGGACTGCTTTCATGGCATCCCACATGTTCTGGTAAGTTGTATTTGTATTTTTGTTTGCTTGTAGACATTGTTTAACTTCTTTAATTTCTTCTGTAATCCACTGATTGTTCAGGAGTGCATTATTTTATTTCCATGTGTTTATGGAATTTTTGCAGTTTCTTTCATCATTAATTTCTAGTTTCATGCCCCTATGATCAGATAATATGTGTGAGATAATTTTGACTCTTTTGCACTTACTTAAGCATGTTCTGTGGGCTAGTAATGATCTATGTAGAGAATGTCCCATGTGAAGCTGAGAAGAATATATATTCTGATGTTGTTGAGTGGAACACTGTACATGTCTACTAAGTCCATTTGTTCACAAGTTTGATTCAGTTCTGCTATTTGTTTGTTAATTTTCTGTCTAGTTGATCAATCTCATTGTGTCAAAGGGATGTTGAGGTCTTCAGTTATAATTGTGTTATTGCTTATTTGATCTTCTATTTCTGTTAGTATTTGTTTTACATAGCTAGGTGCTCCCATATTTGGTGCATATATATTTAGCATTGTTATCTCTTCCCCTTGAAGTTTTCCCCTAACCAGTATGTAGTGACCTTCTTTATCTCTTTTGATCATTCTTGGCTTGAAGTTCACATTGTCCGAAAACAGAATACTACCCCTGCTTTTTCTTGGGTTCCAGTTGTATGAAGTATTGTTTTCTATCCTTTGGCTTTCAGTATATGAATTTTCTTTTGAATTACATGGGTTTCTTGTATACAGAATATGGTTGGATGTTATTTCATCCAGTCTGCCAGTCTGTTTCTTTTAATTGGTGAATTGAGGCCATTCACATTAATGATTATAACATATACAATGGCTCATTTTTGTCATGTTGTCATTCTGCTGTTGATTCTTTACTTCTTCCCTCTCTTTAAGTGTCTGCCCTTTTTAGTGGCTTTTTTCTGTTGGTGTTCTTGGAGTCATAGTTATTTTTATGTCTATCTAGAATATCTTTCAGTATTCTTTGCAAGATTGGTTTGGTGGTCATGAAGTTCTTCAACTGTTCTTTGTTGTGGAAGTATCTTATTTCTCCATCAATTCTGAAGGACAGTTTTTCAGGGTGCATCAGTCTGGGTTGGAAGTTGTTTTCCTTTAGGATTTGAAATACTTCACTCCATGCTCTTCTTGACTTCATTGTTTACATTGAGAAGTCTGCTGTGATTCTGATGGACTTCCTTTATAGGTGATCTGTCTTTTCTCTAACAGCTTTTAGTATTCTGTTCTTATGGTGAATTTCTGGGATGTTGATTATTATATATCTGGGTATAGATTTATTTTGGTTTTAGCTAATTGGAGTTCTATATGCTTCACTTATCTGCAAGTCAGTTTCTTTTCCATGTTTGGAAAATTTTTTACTATTAGCTCTGTAAATAGTCTTTTGACATCATTTGTGTTGTCACCTTTTTCATTTATACCTATCAATCTTATTTTTTTTGCATCATCTTGTAACTGTTGAATTGTTATTGCCTGATTCCTTGTTATTTTTATAAGATCTTTCCTAGCTGTCTTCGAGGTCTGAATGTCTATCTTCACTTTCATTGAGATGGCTTTGGTTTTGCCAGCTTTTGATGGATTTTTTGATTTCCTGGATGTCTCTTTGAATCTGTTTCATGCATTCTATTTCTTTCTTATATTGTTCATTCAAGATTTCCATCTTTTTGCAGTGCTCCTCAATTTTAAAAACTATGTCTTATTTAGATGTGTTCAGATTTATTTTATTACATTTATCATTTCTTCCTTTACTTGGAAGTTTATTTCTGATCTGAGTTCCTTTACAGCTTCATGGAGTTGTTTCTTTACTTCAGTTGCTATCGTTTCAGATATTTCAGGTGTATGACTTACATTTTTTCTATGTCCATGTCTCCTAGGCTTGTTTGGGATGGGCTGGAGGTTTGAGATTGTATTTTGCTCTTTTGTTTTGTCATTTTCCTGCATTCTGTGGAGAAGCTGTATGCAAGTTCTCAGTTGCTTCCGGCATTGAGGATATATGTCTGTATTGGAGAGAGTTTTCCCAGTTGAGTGGAGGTTGTTAGTCAGGCCTTAGCAGGTCCCTAGTGGCACTCAAAGTCTCCTCAAATGTGTGGAGTACACTGAGTGGTCCTTCAACACATCTCATGTGATACTGTGAAGCTCCTGGCTGCTTGAGGTTGCTGAGCAGGATTCTATCAGGTTCTGAGTGGCATACCAAGGCTGAACAGCTATATGGATTATGCTATGCAGGCCTTCAGCTCATGCCATGTGGTGCACCAAAGCTCCAAAGCTCCTAGGGGTTGCTGGGCGGAGTCCTCCAGGTCCTGAGGGACCTATCTGAAGGTCTGCAGTTGATTGAAGATGCTGGGTCAGGGAGGCCCTACCGGGTTCCAAGTGAGGTGCTAAGGTTGCACAGCCAGATGGGGTTAGCTTTGCAGCACTGACAATAGTTTTAAAACTCCTTTTCCTTGATTAGCATATCAAATTAGTTACCAGGGTAACACATTCCTGCAATCTTCCAGTTCTTGGTCTTTGTTTTTGCAGATAGGTATTTGAAATCTAGTCTTTCAGAAACAATGGCCAGGGCAGGACTAATGGGCAAACTAGTCCCCAGTTTGTGATCTGAAGTGTCATTTCTTACTAACAAGAATTAGTACTTCTTAGAGAAGTGGTTGGTTCTGGGCTTGTATAAGGTGAGCCTGGACTATATCGTCACACCAGAAAGCAATACATGTATCAAAGACAACCAAGATCAAATCAGTGAACAAAGAAGTCAACATGAAAGGGCTACTCTTGCCCAAATGAATAGTCTCACCATGAAAACAAGTAGCAAGTATCATGTATCACACTACATCAAATATATTAAAATATCTAGGTGCATAAAGATGAAGGAGTGCTTACTCTGGCAGCACACATACTAAAACCGAATTGATACAGAGAAGATTAACATAGCCCCTGTGTAAGGATGACACATAGATCCGTGAAGTGCTCCATATTTTTTGTGCTATTAATTCTATTAGTTCTTGGAACAAAACAGCTAACACTCATAGGACTAGATCAATTTTGTACATTTGTATCTGGTAATATGAGTATCTCTTTTGAAGATAACTATGCAAAACAACAACTTCTGTTAAGTTCCTATCATCATGTTTTGAAAGCCTATATTGTTATTATTTTAGTTTTTTGTTATTGTTTATTTGTCTCTCTTGTTTTTTTTGTTTTATTTTGTTTTTCCCTCTTTAAAACTAAAAAAAAGTAACTTGTAATTTTTTGGGTTTACTTGGGAGAAAGTCATTAGTTTAGAAATTGGCAATTAAAAACAATCGAATATTTATCTAGTCTTTTCTTTCCTAATAATACTTCAAGGTAACCAAAAAGTTGTTGTTAATGTTTTCCACAGAAGAATTGCAGTTAACAAATACAGAATAGAAGATGATAGAATTGCAACATCATTTTGCAATCTCTTAATGAAATATTGGATCTCCCCCAGAACTTTAGAGCCATCTTTAGAATCGGCTAGCAGCTAAAACTAAAGCCTAATAGCAAACTTTGTATGACAAATCATGCCAGCAACACTGAAATCTACTGATCAACTGTGAAATTATGGAAAAAAAATAGCAACCAGAGCCATGTAACTCCTGATATAACACGAAGTACATGCATCGCAATTAAAGCTTGGATGTTGCTACAGGCATACGAGGGGCAAAAGAATGTGTCAACTCTGGGAGTGCATTCTGCAGAGCCAGAGTGTTCCACAGGGAAAAGTATCCACTCTCTTTTATGAATAAGTAGCAAGAAGATAAAAAGGGGAGAATCTAGAGATTTAAAAATGCTTTAGAAACATATCAACAAGATGCAAAGTATTACCTTTCTTGGATTCTGACTAGAACAAATCAATTGTTAAAAAAGTTATGACACAATTAGAAAAATCTGAGTTGGGTTATCTGATGATACATAGGAATTATTATTAATTTTGCAGGTAAGACAATAGTGTTGTGATTAGCTCATAAAACAAAGTCTATATTTTAGTGGTATATACTGAAGTACCAACAAAAACATTTTCTGCCTGTGATATATTTAAAAACAAAGAAGCAGTATGGGAAAGGAGCCTGGGTAACAAGATTGATTGGGTGCCAGTAACTCCTTAAACTGGGAAATGTATACACAGCGATTTGTCACACTGATGACTCTACTATTAGCATATGTTTAGAATTTTCCATAATTCAAAAACTTAGCTTCCCAAATGTTTTCTTATGTTTCTTATGTTTTCTTAAGCTTTCTCATCATAGTATCCATACTAATACTATAATCTGTAGGGATAAAACAAGCAACTTCCTCTCTGTGAGTTATTACTGAAGCTCAGTATATGATTTCATTTTAATGTACACTACAAACCAGACTCTGAGACTGTGACAATCCTGGTATATTTGATAACATGTGAGGAGTACGGCTGCAAGGCAAGTGAGGATAAAAGGGGAGTTTATGTTCCAGTTATAACAGAAACAAAGAAAAAGTAACTAAGCTATTTAATATGTTTGATGTTTCCTACTAATGCAGGCTAGAGTAGTAACAATAACAGTTAACCCTTATTGAACTCTTACGGAGTACTGGTCACTGTGGTAAGCACTTGTTACTATACCCAGCACTATGAGAAGGTACTATTGTTATCTCCATTTTATATGAGCTCAAAGAAAGTAAAAGCTCTCATCTGAGCATAGTGGCACGCATCCATAATCCCAACCCTCTGGGTGACCATGGCTGAAGAATCACAAGTTCAAGCCCAGAGTGGGCTCAGTGACCAGAAAGATTCTGTCTCAAAATTTTAAAGATGTAAAAGGTGTCAGACATGTAGCTCGGGCTCTGCAACAATGATGACAACAACAATAATAATAGCCACTAAGCACATCAGATAGGTCTAATTCCTACCTTGGTGGTCTTTACCATTTCTGCACCTGTAGATCACGTTGTAGCTGCCATTTATGGACGCCCTCTGTGTACTAACAATATGTGGGGCATATGTATCATTTCATTTTATTTTCAACTCACATTCTGGAACTGTAATTATCACCCTCATTTACAGATAAAGAAAATGAGACACAGAGAAGTAACTTGTCCAAGATAGTTCAGTCAGTGGTGGAGGAGGGCTTCAAACTAACCTCAAGCTCTAAGCGCTACTCTGTCCCCAGAACCCAAATTCTCCCTCCGTGGGCCTCCTCTGTCCACCGATCCTGTTGCCCCTTTGTTTTGTGCTACCAATGTTGTGTCACTGAAGCTCATTGAGAACTGAGATGGAGTCTGATCAGATATCACTCAGGGTCTTATTTCTGGGCACCAGATTTTGTGCAGTGCCTAGCATATAGCTAGAGCTGCTTCCTAAATGTTGGCTGAGCCACGTTACTAAGATGGAGTTGAAAGAAACTACTGCTTATGGTCAGTATTTTAGTGCATGATATCATTGCTCCTCTTCCCAATTTTCACCATGTAAAATAGTATCTAGCACTTTTGAAATCACCATATGGTTATATCAGTCACCTGAGGAAAAAAAATTTCATCAGGATTGTCCATGGATGCAAATTTATGAATGTTAATGTATTTTTGTAGACTCAGCTCAGAAATCCATAACATTTTAAGACAAAGAAAAGATGGGTTCTCTTTTTTTTTCTTTTTTTTTTTTTTTTTTTTTTTTGGTCTTTTTCGTTTTTTTTTATCGGTACCAGGGATTGAACTCACGACTGCCTGCTTATAAGGCAGGCGTTTATGCCACTGAGCTAAATCCCTAGCCCCAAAAGATGGGTTCTTAACCATGTGTTCTTTCTTTTGATTTAGTAATATCTGCTCTAGATTTTCTAAAATTATAGGCACTCTAATGCTACTTTAACTTTAACTTTAATAAGAAACAATTGTTCAAAGTGGAAAAGAAAAAATCACTTCATTATTTGATATAAATGAATGAAACTTGGAAAATTACATGTTTTCTTCTCAGTAAAATCTATGTCCCTTATTTTCATCATCTTCAATTCTTTGTTTTATATCATTTACTCTGATTCAGAAAATGCCTATCTAAATTCACTTTCTTAGCTTAAGTTACTGACCCCTTTTTCTCGTATTTGACATTAACTCAAATAGCCTTGAAACAGTTATCCTCTCTGCTCGCTCCAGAATTGCCTATTCTGTAATTGAGCACCCACTTAATCTCTCCTTTGCCAAAGAACACCACTCTGAATAACTATGATCCTTTAGATTCCGGAGTGGCTCTCAGTGCCCTGGGTCATGCCACCTCCAATTCTGTAATGTCTTTCTATAATAAGGAGACTGGAACTCTGTGTGGTATTCCAGAGGTAGTCTTGCCTGTCCTTACAAATAACTGGGATCACTCTTTGGGTTTATATCCACACCCTTTTCTCAAGCATAGGAACTTGTCTACTGTCTTTATTGCCACTAAACTCTGAACTTTTGAAATTGAGTTTCCTTCTCCCTTACCCATTTGAATTACTAGTTTCCAAACACATTGGAGAATTCTGGAGCATTCTGCCATCTTAGTGAAAAATTCTGGAGTATAAAGGAGGTCCTTATGTCTTTTGGTCAGGTTTATTTGAGACAGCAGGAGCTAGTAATTCTGGATGCTTCTTTAGGGGGACAGTAGTTAAAAGTGTGTGTGTCATTCAGGAGATTAACAATGGATCTGCTCTGCCTGCACCCATCATTTGCTCCTCCCCTGCATCTCCTTTGGGGCAATGTTGTCACAGGTGAAGAGAAGGCTGAAGTACAGGAGATTTGCAGAAGTAACCCAAAAGTGGCCACTCTTGAGAAGAAAATTTTGGTGAATTCAAGTCTTTAAAAAGATCTTTAGAAGACTGGGCCTCATCTGCATGCACACACATGTGCACACACACATTCATTTTCTATGTTCCAGCTATTGATTTGCAACATGAATCACGTGACTTGGCAGCCTCAATCTGCAGTGGGAGACAGATATCAGTAGGACAAAGACCTACGTGGAAAATAAACATTGAAGTTAGTTTGTTTTTTAAATTTTATTTAAGGAGCAAAAGAAAAAAAAAAGCAGAGAAAGGGTACAAGTTATACAGATTTACAGAAAAAAATAAACAGTAGGATATCACTAGTTAATTTATTACATATTGTCATCTTAGAAATAATTTGTTCAAGTTACAAAATTAAAGCTTATAAAGTGGACATTCCAACAGTCTCTGCAAACAGTTCTGTTCAACGATCCAACAAAACTCAGTAATATCACTATCTATCTTATACACTTAAATATACATGCAGTTATATCATTTAGAGCACTTTCTTTTCCTCTCTTTTGTACAATGACAATTACACATTTTGGGTTTTGTTGCTCCCACAGTTCTTATTACTTTTTTGGAAGAGAGTAGAACCAAATGTGACATAACAGACCAGAGTCAGTCAAATCAAAAGGGTGGACATAATAGATAATGTAAAAGCATAATACCAGGTGATCAACAATGGTTACCAGAATGCCTCCCGCTATCTCTAATAGAATTGCCTATATCATCAGTTATAATAAAATTGAACAAAACAGTAAAGAACAAAACCAACAAAACCAAATCACTGGAGACATTATAGGTCTTCAAAAGTAGATAATAGGCAACCAGAATGGGCATCATAATAATCCCACTATCTTCACAGCTATTGTCTAAACTTTCGAACGTGGTACTATCAAGCAAAACAGAATAGAGGAACATCAGTCAAAACAAGATGGTGAGAGCAATACAGGGCTTTAAATCAAGATAATGGAAAGTCAAAGTGGGTTACTATAATATATCCTGCTTTTTTAAATTTATTTTTCCCTTAATTAAAAGGATAAAAATAAAAAAGCAAATAATGAAATGGAGATTGAGATAAAAGAGGGCATAACAGCAAAACAGCGCAGATCAAAACATAACCAATTAAGCAAAATAGTGTTTCACCACAAGATAATCCCGACATAAAAGTAGTTACCATATTGTCTCTTTCCTTGA